ATTAAAACCACACCCAAAAATTCACATGGTGCAAATTCATAATGGATGTATATTAATTCCTTGTTTCATGTTAAGGGTGCTCTGTAACCCCCGTTTTAAAAAGAGAGACTAATGATAGAGTTGAAACCAACAATAGGCTCTAAATATCTAACTACATTGAGTCTGCAGAAGCACACATCTGTTTTTATTTCAGAAGTACACACCTGTGCCCTAGCTGGTTTGGCTCACAGTGGGTAGCGTTGGCCTGCGGACTAAAGGGTCCCGGGTTCGATTCCAGTCACGGAAACATGCTTGGGTTGTGGGCTCCATCCCCAGTAGGGAGCATACAGGAGGCAGCTGATCAATGATTCTCTCTCATCATTTATGTTTCCCTCTCCCTTCTGCTCTGAAATCAATACAAATACATTAAAAGACTTGAATGTCAACCTGGGAGAAGTGTTCAGTTGTGCAAAGAACAAGCTGTTTCTTTCTCCTTAACGCGCCTGTACTGGGTATTGACACACATTCTCACACACACACACACACCCCCACACACGCTCTTGCCTGAAACTCCGGGATGTTTCGGTGACGCTTTGTGGGACCTGGTAGGGTACAGAGTAACGGCCCACAAGCAGCGATTCCTCATGCGTTTATGAGCCACGCCAGGGGCGTCGACGGAGAGTCAACTATGAAACTGGGGGAGCTCAGGCGTGGTGGACAGCCAGAGGCAGCTGAGCCAGGACCCAGGAGGGGCTCCCTGGGGACGGAGACAGCACACAGCCCTCGAGAGTGTTTCTGACATGAGTACATGTTCTAGAATCTGCCCGGGGCTCTGGAGGCGGCGTGCTGGGAGGGCCGCTGCCAGCCTCGTAGCGAAGGGGGTCCGGGCACCCCATTTCCTCTGGGCGCCCTGTTCGCTCCTGCGCAGTGGGGTGTCGCTGAGCTGCCTTGGCCAGTAGGGATTCGTGACCCTGAGTGGCCAGTAGGACCCTCGCCCTCCTCCCTGTGGTGTGGACACGGGGGCGACTCAGGCCGCGCCCCCGCAGCTGGGTCACGTGGAGTGTCTGGGTCTTGGCACCTGATGTTCCGTCTCGGCAGGCACCGACCTCATTCAGGGGCGCCCCTAGGCCCTGCCCTCGGGATGGACATCAGCCCCCTTCTGTTGTGGGGAGCGTTGCTGAGTGGCTTCCTCCCTGGTCACTTGTCACTTCAGGACGCAGTTTACAGGGGTCCCCGCAGGGCCCTCCCGCTGGCCTGGCCGCCGCCTGCGCGGTTCAGAACAGGCGCCAGGCACTCGGAGGGCGATGTCCGCGGAGGGGGCGCAGATCTGTCATGGACAGTGTCTGGCAGTGCCTGTGTGACAGCCTGTGGGGTTGTACACTGGGGGGTGCCTGCCCACCCGGCCTGGGCGTGGAGGGTGGACAGGGG